AAGCAGTGATGCTGAGCATATTTAAATGCAAATCTAAATCAAAAAGTAAGATGGAGATTATGTTAGCCTGCGTGCTAGATGGCCCCCAAGGGTACCCAATATTTGTTATTAACATTGTGTAGTTGCCTCCTACACTGAATAGGGCTGACTTGTGTACTAAAAGATGTTGTGGAAGGGTGGAATATGAGGATAGATCATAAAAGATATTCTGGCTCCTATCTTATATACTCTTGCTGTCCTTTTGCTCTGGGGAAAGCCAGATGACAAGTCATGAGGACACTCAAGCAGCCCTGTGGAGGTCCACATAGAGAAGAACAGGATCTATTGCCAACAGTCATGTTAAAGAATCATCTTGGAAGGTGATCCTCCAGCCCCAGCCATGCTTTCATATGACTGTAGCCCTGCCCAAAAGTTTAGCTGCAACTCCATGAGACCCTAAGCCAAACCTCCATGCTAAGCCACTCCTGAATTCCTGATCCACAAAAATGGTGTAAAAAAATAAATACTTGTTATTTTAGGGTAATTTTATAGCAATAAGTGACTAATATAGTGATAAAGGTTATAAAATGGAAAATACACAAGTTCATCAATTACCTCATTTGTAGTAACTAAAAGAGAAAGGACATCATTTAAAGCTGAAAAGTCATGAATAGAAACTTAGAAATATTTAAGAATACAAATGTAAAGTGAGAGTAAAAATGTCAACTGCATTTCAATGTACATGTAAAAATTAAGAAATTAAAAATTATATTTCAAGTGATAGCATTTGTAATAGCAACAAAAATTCAAATATCTATTTAAACTTTAACAAAATATGTACAAGGTCTCTATATTATTATAAATAAAACACAGAAATTAAAGAATATCTAGCGAATAGAGGAATTTAACCCGTTTATGAGATGAAAGGCTGATGATTTTCAAGATGTCATTTATCCTCAATATAACAGTATAGGAAGATTAAAAGTAAAAAGATGGTAAAAGATACACTATGCAAATCACAATCAAAAGAAAGCTGAAGAGGCAATACTAATATAAAACAAGGTATATTTCAGAGCAAAGAAAATTACTAGGGAGAAAAGATGGTCTTCCCCAAAGGAAGTGTCCTTTGCTCAAAAACTTGAACAGATACTTCCCAAAGGACAGGCAAAGGACCTCAGTAGGCACTTCCCAAAGGAAGATACCCAAATGGTCAAGAGTCATTAAAACAAAAGCACTCAACTTCATTAGTTATAAGTTAAGAAAAACACAGTGCAATACTATATAGATCCACCATACTGGCAAAAATTTTACAGTCAGACAATACCACGTGTGAATGAGAAAGTGGAGTAGTTGGAACTTGCATAAACTGTTGACTGGAGCATTAACTGATTCAACCATTTTGGAAAACTGGCAGTACCTGCTTAAGTGGATTTGCATATCCTATGACCCAGCAAGTCTCTCCTAGAAATAGACCTAACAGAAACAGATACACATGAATGCAAAATGACAAATATGAGAAAGCTCCTAGCATCATTATTCGTGAAAGTCCGAAGTTGGAAAAATTCAAATGTCTGTCAACAGTATGGTAACTGTTGAATGGACAAATATAGTTGGTATATTCAGGCACTGGAATACTAGTGCATTTAGCAATGCAAACAGTAAGGTGTTTCTACACACAACAATATGGATGAATCTCACAAACATAATGTTGAACAAAAAAGGCAAAGCAAAAGGCTGAATACTGTGATTTCACTGATACGTAAGTTCAAAAACAGACAAAATTGATATATGGTGGTTACTCTGGGGGAGCTACTGACTGAACATGAATGCAAGAGGGACTTCTGGGATGTAGGCAATGTTTATTTCTTGATCTGGCACTTACTACATGGGTGTTCCCTTTGTGGTAACTCAAGGAATACAGTTTTGATTGTATTGGTTTCTTGAATGTATTATCATGTATATACTTGCATGCATATAGGATAAACTTCAATAAAAAGTTTATTTTACAAATTATGGAGAAATGTATAAGGCAAATGCAAACAAACAAAAATAAGCAAGGGCCATGATCTTGAGCATGTGAAAATACTAAAGTCTAAAATTCACAATAAACACATAACAATTATGAGTATCTATTTATCACTTTCATAAAGCAGAAGTTACAGGTTATACAAGATAAAATTTCATTAATAATAGAGAAGAGAATTTTAATACATTTTTCTCAATCCAAGATAAATCAAGTAGAAAACAAACAGCTATAAACTGGCCATATATTATATCAAAAAGAGAAATTTATTAAATCCCAATGTTAAAAAATATGACAATGCAGCAAAACTATAAACTAAAAAAAGAGGGGGCCTATGTGCTTTACCTAAAGTCCTGAATTTTATCAATAGGAACTGATGTTCCTCATGTCACAGGGCCCAAAACCCTTCCACAGCACTGAGGCTAGGACACTACACCACTGTATTAGTTTTCTACTACTGAGTAACAAATTATCATAAATGCAGTGGCTAAAAACAATACAACTTTATTAACCTTACTGTTAGGTAAAAGTCTAACGTGGTTCTCACTGGGCTAAAATCAAGGTGTTGGCAGAGTTGTTTTCCTTTCTGCAGGCTTTAGGGGAGAATTAATTTCCCTACGTTTTCTGGTTTCTAGCAGCCAACAACTCTCCTTGGCTCAAGACTACCTTCCTTTATCCAGCCAGCAACTTTGCATCTCTTGGCAACTTTGCACCACTGTTCCGTGATCACATCTCCCTCTGACTCTAAACTCAGCTGGAAAAGGTTTACTGACTTAAAGATCCATGTGATTAGTTTGGGCCTAACTGGATAATCTAGGATAATCTCCTCACTTCAAGGTCCTTAACTTAAGCCTATCTACAAAGTCCTTTTTGCCTTGAAAGGTGAGATATTCACAGGTTCTAGGGATTAGGACCTAGACATCTTTGCAGAGGCATTATTCTGCTTACCCCAACCACTCTTAAAGGTTCTATCCCCGGCTTCCCTCTTTCAAAGGGCATACTCAAAACTCCACCTCCTTCTATCTAAACACTACCTCTCCAACACTGTTGTGAAAACCAACCAGAATAAACATCAAAATTCCCTTTATCCATCTTTATGAAATGGAGCAGGACCCTAAAGTGCCTTCCCAGGAGAGATCCTCCACCACCCAGTCTCCCCATATGTCCTCTGCCTGTCTTTTGTCTGCAGAAAAGCTTTAGTCAAAGAATAAATTTTATCAGAGAAATGAGAAAATGCAGAAACAAAGGAAAAGCAGTCATGCAGGACAAAATAATAATAGTTTAATCATTAAGCAAAGGCAAGGACCTTTAGTTCCTCTTGAAGGGCTATAAATAATATTCTGAGCCATATCCTTTGAGCTGTTTTGTAGATACTGAAACCCCACCAGATGGGAGAAGTTAACTACATGATGACCAGATTGTAGCCATGACATGAGCTGCCACAGTTCTGAGAAACGGCCTCAAGGAAATGGGAACAAACCCACGCTGGAACTGAAGATTAACTGTACTTAAAATTAAAACAATAAAGATGATGCTGATAAGACCACCACATGACCAATTTCAAGACAACTGTCAGTTTCTGCATGTAGCTCCCTCTCTTCACCTACACACCCTGAAACTCCCCTTTAAAAGCTCTTGCCCACCACTTCTCAGTGGGGAGTTGGCCTTTGGACATGAGTCCACTATGTCCCTTGGTTGCCAGCCTCTAGAATAAAGAAAATTTTCCTTTCTACCAATACTTGCCCCTTGAATATTGGCTTACAAGCAGCCAGATCTGAATTTCGGTAACATTTATGTCCATCATAGAAGTCCTAGGCTCTGTGGTCATCTTTCTTTACAGACAGTGTACTTCCCATCAGTTGGATGTCCCTTTTCTCATCACTCCCCAATTCTTGACACTTTCCAGTATGCCTTCTGGAATTCATAACTCAGTAATAACAAATCCCTTTTATCCTCAATCACTTCCCTGAACACTCCCTTCACCTTTGGGTCTAACAGAAATCTGGCTCTCTCCAGAGGTCTCTTGCAGCTCTCTCAATGTTTTTTTTTCCTCCCTATAGCCTCTTGCCACTGAGTCTGGAAGTGAGACAGGTGTCATCCTTGCTCTTAGAACTTTTAGACCTTCCTCCTCCACAAAAGCTCTACTTTTGAATTTCATGCCAAGAAATTATAAATAACTCACCACATCTCACTACTGCTATCTACCAAATACTGAATAATTCTTTCCCCTTGTTTCCGAAAACTCACGGTTCATGGCTAGTTCTCTGCAATACTACTACCCTTCTTCTATTCCTGCAATTTCAATACACCCACACAGATAAGCCTGGCTTACTTACCTTTCCCTTCTACTTTTCCTTCTCTAACGGTTCATTCCCACCAGCATACTGATAGGTTATTTCTCCCCTACCAGTTGCTGTTCCATTTCTCTGCTTATATTTACAAAGAAACTCTTGGAATACGTGGTCTACACTGTCTCCTACTCCCCTTCCCTCATTCTATGTTACCCTACTCCAACTAACAGCCACCACAGAAACTGCTCTCCACACATTCAGGAATGGCTGTGAATGTTACAAAACCCAATGCTCAGTTTCTGGCCCCACAGCTGCTGTTATCGCATTTACACAAACAGTTACGCACATGGTGACGCAGTCACAATCCTATACGTGCACAGTCACACCTAAATAGTCCATTACAATCACATACAGCTCCAGTCACCACCGCATCGTCTACGTGTACACGTACACACACACACACACACACTTCTACGATTCTCCTGCAATTACCCCCACCCCTCGGTCTTTTATCCATTTCACACAAGCACCGAAGGTTCCCTATCGCGACCGCTGGCGCGCGCGGGGGCACAAACAACTCCCTACTACCTTCCCTCCCACACCGCCGGTAAAGCCTCAGACTCCGAAAACGTTAGCTCCTCACTGCCTCCCCCCGCGGCCTCGGCCTCTCTGGGGTCATTCCGCTTCCGGGTCTCAGACTCACTCACCTGGCTCTGCGGTTCCCTCAAGCCGTGGATGTGCCTCAGGGACTCGCGGGGAATCCCCCGTCCCGTCCTGAAAGGGCCGGTGCGCGGACGGGACGCTGCCTTGGGTACAGTGGACATTGGGAAATGTAATCCGGAGCCTAGGCTGCCTTTAACAGCCTAGAGCCCAACGGTTTCAATTCACAGGCCTCGGTCTTGGACCCTGTTCCTTCGCTCAGCAAACACTGTGTTCCTCACATCGCTCATACCCGTGGCAGAGCGCTTCAACGAGTTTCAGGCCGCGTTTAGAACACAAGCATCAACTGTCGACGTGACGCTACACTTTCTCCGCCAACCAGAGCGCCTCTCGGAGAACGTGGACAATAAACCATCGCGGTCTTTTGACTGGAAGGGGCCGAGATCGCGGTGGCCCCTGGGAAATGTAGTCCAGAGCCGTGGACATACCTCTTGAAGGATGGTGCAATTCTTTTCATCCCAAGCTTGCCACCTGGGACTCCGACAGATGTGGTATGGCAGAAAGGTCCTGAGTCTCTGTAGGCTTGGGGGTCGAATGAAAGGGAGGCTCTTATGAGGCACCACTCGGGGGAGGGGGGACCCCGTCCATGGGAGCTCCTTGAACGTTCACCAGGTGTGTTATCCCTCACATCCAAAAATACGTACCTTGTTCCAATTACCCTTAAAGTGTTGGTTTAAATTAATATTCATGGTTACATTAGTTGTTTTGTAAATGTTATTCGTGTCCGACCCATTCTATTTGCTGAAGTTAATACTTATCAGCGTTTTGCATTTGCTTCCTTTCATGTGTACTTAATTATTTAGATGTATATTTTTTCAATATTTTTAAAATCGTCTAGTAATCTTTTAAAATGCTTTCTTGAATTTTTTTTATTGTGAAATAAAATACCTGAAGAAAAATGCATAGAGTGTGTAAGTTCAGTGTAACTCAATACAAGTGAAGAAACAGTATTTTGTTCATATCTCAGGAAGAAACCGCCCACCTCATGTGATCATTTCTGATCCCCGGCCCCCAGCTGACCACTATCCTGATATGTAATAATATCTTGGTTTTTCAGTTATTTTTCTTTGAAATTTCATAGGTGCAATCAAATTGTATGAATCTCTTACATTGCTTGGTTGATAAAAACCCTAACTGGAATAACTCAAAACTCCACACTAAAAGCTTTGCAGAAGGAAATGTATGCCCATTCAGGCATAAAAATTATTTTCCCTGGTTACTACAGTGTTATGGGACCTCAAGATCAACCCTCCCCTCAAGGTTTGATGATTCACTGGGAGAACTCGCAGCAAAACAATACAAAGCAAAATCAGCAAAAAGAAAAGGTGCGTGGGGCAAAGTCCAGGAAAAACCAGGCACATGTTTCCAAAGATCCTTTCCCAGTGGAGTCATATAGTCTGTTAATTCCCCCAGGAACAAGTTATGACAGCACATGTGAGATGGTGCCAACAAGGAAAGCTCATTAGAGACTCCATACCTAGGGTTTTTACTGGGGCATTGGTCACATAGGCAGTCTCTGCTTGGCACATACCAGAATTTCAGACTCCCAGAAGGAAAGCAGGTGTTTAACAAAAACCATATTGTTTGCACAAGCACTTAGGGCATCGTGAGCCATTCTTATCAGTTAGGACATTGGGAATCTTCTTGAAAACTAAGTTCTAGTCACAAGCTAAGGGCCAAACTTCACGCAGACATTTCAAAGGATAAGAAGTCTCAGGTTTGCTTTATTACCCTTTTCTGCACACTGCTGTCGTAAACAAAATATCTGGCTTCAACAACAACAAGTTACAAGGCATACAAAAAGGAAAGAAAAACCAAGACACTCCCAAAACACAAAGCAACAACCAAAAGTAGACTCAGGTGTTCTTAGCTTGTTGCTGCATAATTTCAATCTCTGCCTCTATCCTCATGGGTTCTTCTATGTCTTTTCAACTTCTGTCAGTTGTAAGTGGATTTAGGTCACACCCTGATAATCCAAGATAATCTCACCTAGAAATCCTTAACTTAATTACATCTGTAAAGACCTTTTCCCCCAGATAAGGTCATATTCCCAGGTCTTGGGGATTAGGATGTAGACATATCTCTGGGGTGCCACCATTCAACCCAAAACAACCTGGTACTATATTTAGTTTTATCCTAATAGATTTCCTTATAAATCTCATCTTGTCTCTCTGCTATAAATAACATCTAGGTACTAACAATATGAAGAAGTCACAAAATGGCTTCCCTGATGCCAAGACAGCTTAGAGTTTGCTGTGATCGATTAACTTGTTTTCTCCGAGTTCTTTCTAACTATCTCGTTGCTTTTTTCTCCTTTGCAACTGCTATTGTTTAACTTGCTTGAATGATTACATGCTTAGCAACCCCAACCCGATGATTTATGCCCTATCCTAAATAACTTGTATCCAAAACCCCAGAAGCTATTTTCCAGAAGGAAGGTCACAGAATGATAATACTGAAGGAACAGCCAGATCCTCAAAAAAAAAAAAACCCAAAAAAACACCATGACACCAGAGGGATCAGACCTGATAACGCCAAGGCCACAAGCAGTGACCTACTTAACAGACCACTAGAAGTTCCCAAGACACAAGATATCCTTTTGTAAAGGATTCTTGTTTGTTATCACTGATATGCTCCACCCCGTTTGCCTATGTAATCACCAGGTCCCAACCTCAGGATGGATTCATTGTTTCCCAGGTATTAGCCTGCTGTGACTCGCCTTTGCCAGGCAAAGCAATCAAGTGGCTCTCTTCTTTGCTCCCAAAACTCTGCCTCTGAGTTTGAATTTGCTTTTGAGTGTGCAGAGGCTGATTTTTTGGCAACAAACATACAAATGTTTCTCTTTAGCATGGACTGTCCCAGTGGTTTAGCAGAGCAAACACCGAACTCTTGATCCATCCACTAAAACTTGCTCATTCCTTAGTTTTATCTTAGTAAATGACAATTCTGGTCTTCCAGTTTCTCAAGCTGAAATACTTAGGTTGGCCTAGATTCCTCTGTTTCTCTCATTTCACATATCAAATCTATTACCCGATCCATTCAGCTCTATCTTCCAAATATATCTAGAATCCAATTATTTTTCATGACTACCACTGCTATCACCGTAGACCAGTATCTCATACCTAGAATATTCCAACAGCCCATTGGCTAGTTTCCCTGCTTCTTTCTTTGTTCCCCTACATCCTCCTCTCTACTCAGCACCCCAACATGATCCCTTTTAAACATAAGATCATGTCACTGTTCTGTTTCAAACCCACTATTGCTTTTACATCTCAATGAGACTAACCAAACTTCTTAAAATGTTCTCCAAGATCTTCCATAATCTGTCCTATCATTAGCTCTTTCACCTCAACTACAGCTTTCCACTTTGTCACGCTGGTCTACTTGCTGCTCCCTGGATATACCAGGCTTGTACTTATCCCACGGCATTTACATTTAGCTGTTTTCTCTGCTTATAATGCTCTTTATCCAAATATCTTCAAATGTCACTGCTTCTTCCTTTTTTTTTTTTGCTTAAATATTTTCTTCTTACTAGGATTTCTCTAACTATTCTATTTCAAACTGCAACTCCCTTGGCACACACTATCCTATTTCCAAGCTTTTTTCTTCTTTATACTGGTATACTATATATTTCATTTACACATTCATTGGCCACTTTCCCAGACTAGAATGTAAACTCCTTCAGGACAGGAAATTTTGGCTGTTCTGCTCACTGATGCTCTCCTAGTGCTCAGAACAGCACCTGGCACAGATAAAGGGTTCAACAAATATCAGCTAATTGAAGAAAAACATTTTGACAGGAACAGGCGATAGGCACGTTCATACATTTTTTTGGTGGGAATGGAAAGTATTTCATCTTCTATGGACTGAAAATACTTATACCTAACCTCTGAGCCAGCACTTCTTAGAAGAATTTGAAAGATGTACCTGCACATCTGTGCAAAGCCGTACAAGGATTTAACTCCCAAATTGCAATAACCTGAAAGCATCCTAAAAATTCAGTAACACAGTAGTAGTTAAAATATGACATTTTCCCTACCATAAAATATTATACCATCATAAGAAAAAATAAGGAATATATATTAATATGGGACATCTTATAAGAAATAATAGTGAGTAAAAAGGTGCTTTACACTATATTAATATTTGTGAGAAATAAAGATGAGGGGTTATATATACACAGATATGTTGGTATAATCATATGATAACTGAAAGTAGTTTACATAAGAAATTAGTCATAGTAGATGCACATGGAGAAGAGAAATAGAGGGAGACTTCTTTTTTCACTATAACCTTATTTAAAATTTTAAAATCAGTGGGGAGGGTATATCTCAAAGTGGTAGAGTGCATGCTTAGCATGCATGAGGCCTTGGGTTCAATTCCCAGTACCTCCTCTAAAAAAAGTAAATAAACCTAATTACGCCCCCCCCCAAATAAAATAATATCAATGAGATGATGCTTTTAAAAGCAATTATGAAATTAAAAAGTTGGCAGAACGGGGAGCTAGGAGGAAAGCAGCAATGATTTCTAAGCTAGCAACTTCTGGAGGTAACGGAGATTGCAGAAATATGACGGTGGGAAGTAAATGCCAATAGGAAATGCAGATGTAAAATACACCCCTGAAGCTGTTAGCAATGGAACGGTAGAAAATGGAATGTAATAAAAAGAAACAGCAGTGTGACACGGTAAGAGTCTTAAAAGACTGCAGATGTATGAAGATGTATGCAAATGAATGCGTAGCCTGTGAAAATTAAAAGAATATGGCCCTCTAGGATCTGCTTTAAAAAAGTGGGCACTGATAGTGGAAGAATTGTGACTGAAGGATTCACAGCCACTAAAACTCAAGAAGTGTAGGATCTATATAGGAAATCCTGAAAAGCATTTTAGAGTGACATGATTTATTCATTTTGGGGGGGAGGAGGTAATGAGGTTATTTATTGACTTATTTTAATGGAGGTATTGGGTACCAAACCCAGGACCTCATGCGTGCTATGCACGCACTCTACTGCTGAGATATATCCTCCCTGCTGACAAACATTTTAGTGGAGCTAACTCCCTTACTGAACATCTGTGTTCTCCCTTGTCTTAGGCATATCCACCTGGTTCTCATTCACTCAGTTGTATAAAACCTCCTTTACATTTCTTCTGCTCACCACCCATAACCCATCTTCTTGTTCCAACTTGAAGATTTCATGCAGTTTGGTGATATGAGAGCTTATATATGGGACAGTTACATAAGGCTTGAATTCAAGCTCTATCCCCAAACTCAGATTGAGACCAGGCCTTTAAGGAAGTTACCATATAAAGAGGAACAAAGTAAATAATGTTTTGCCTTAACGGTTGAGCATATATAATCATGTAGCAGAGAGCTTGAGAATATCTGAAGCCTACATCTCAAAGCTGAATCTATAATGCGTGTAAAGATTCTAAATATTTCAGAGATGTCATTTTACTTTCAAAAGTTGGATTATTCAGAGAAGCTATCCATACCTAATGTGGCTACCTCGCTCTAGTTCTCCAGCATCATAGCTCAGTACAACTTCCTCTGAACATCTTTTCATTGTGGTTGATACTCCTGGTTGAAATGAACAATCACGTATCTCATCGTTTACCTTACTAAGGTCTCCCAAAGAACAGAGAGGAGAAAATGTCTGGGGAGAAATTTGTGGACATAACCCAAAACAGGCACCCCCATAACAAAATATACCCCATTTAAAAAGTCATACTGATTTGGTATTCTGTTCCAAAACAAAATGTTTGGAATCTAAAGTGTTTATATAAAAATGCTATAAGTTATTTACTATATCAATATGGAGCTT